GGGTTCCTGACCCCAAAAAATATATAAACCGTGAGAATTCAGCAATTAAAAAGTGGCCGATGGAGATTATTGAATGATGAGAAACGTACACTGGAACAGGGAGCATATTCCTACGTGCAAAGCCAACACTCGCTCACTCGCTCACAAGAGCCCACCACTAGTCCCTGTCCTGAGTCCGATGAATCAACACCACATCTTTCCATCGCGTAGTTCCGTGAGGGAAATTACGAAAATAGGATTGTAGCGGGCTGCATATGTAGACTGGCTGGGTAAGACAATTCAGGGGCAGACCTGTTGAAAAGTAGCCGCTGGCACAACAAGGAAGGAAATAGGATGAAACTTCCGAGATATATATATATTGGGAATGTGACCGCCTCTGTGGTCTAGTGGTCACAGTCCCTGGCTACAGATCCACATTTCAGGGTTCCATTCCCGGCGCTATCACATTTTCTGAGAAGCAGTGGGTCCGGAACGGGGTCCACTCAGCCTCGTGAGGATAATTGAGGAGCTATTTCAAGGAAAATGCGGCTCCGGTCTAGAAAACCGAAATTAACAGCTGTGGGGATTCGTTTCTCTGACTACGTGACACACACTCTATCCGCTAAAGTTGGCACTAACTTCGCCGACAAGCGGCGGTCGCTCGGTCGGTATAGTTCTCTTGCGGACTAAATCCACGGAGTTTGTTTTCTTTTAATTGAAAGGGAGGTCTACATATTGATTTCTTTTCTATGTTGTATGTGTGTGATAGTAAGTCTCTGACATTAGGGGAATAACAAACGGAGGGTGTCCGAGAACACGGGGTTGGAGCGCATGTTTCTACCTGAGGCTAAGGAAACGATAACTGAATCCAGTCCACCGAGTGCGACTGATTAAGATGCTGTGGAGGCAGACAGGTTTGCTTTGCCAGACGTTTCGGCTTCACTGCAGTGGAGCGAACCTGAGAGTGTGCTTAATGACTCGATCCGCCCCGACTGGACCTCATTCAACATGTATACACGAGTTTGATTTGTTTCATATAAGAGGGACGATGGGAGGACGAACACGAGCCTGCATGGTTTACGAATTTTAATTATTGATAATCCAAAAAATTTTTTTAATTAGCATCAAGTAATTTTATACAATTTTATAAAAAACTTTACATTCCCAGGAAACTGCTGTGTTTGTGAAATGTTCTATTTTGTGTACTATGTATTGTAGCATATAAGTGTACGTACTTTACGTCTAAACAACTTATGTGATGGTGGTTTCCTATTTGTAGTGATGTTTGCCCTCTGAAGATGGTCCACAGAGACCGAAACATGTAAGGGTGTTAAGTTTTCATGTAGTAAAAAACTTACAGGTCACATTGGACGGAGTGATTTATATTTGTAATGTATACGTGCCTTCCTTATTGGTTTATATGTTACGGTAAGTGACGGGGGCTCGGATGCTGTAAGGTTATCTTGGCGGTAAAGAGATCGGTTTCGCAAGAGGGTCTCTGTGCTATTGGAATGCCTACAACCCATTTTCTAGTTTGCACAAGTTCGGTATTCACGTCCACTAAGGTATCAAACACGCTATGATTACGCGACTGCCCTAAATGATTCTTCCTGGTTTTTCTCGGTCCCTCTAAGCAAGTGGCAAGATCATATGTCAACGCAGACCACGGCAACTTTTATATCCTTCCCAATTCATCATCCGTTAACCAACCGCCCCAGCACTTGACGCTGTGTAAGCGAGGATTCTGACAGCTTCGTTGAATAATCCATAAAATCGATAAACTTTTTGTTTGTTATAATGGGGAAACTCGTCATTCTCTCGTCGGTTGTTCCTGAGAAGTCTTGACCGAACAGTTACTCAGAAAGCAGCATCGACTTAACTAGACGCCATATTGCCTTGCCCCCTGGTGGCAGCTCCTGATAGGGTTAAGACGTTGATTGATGACCGAGAGTTTCTTAGCCACCTTCATTGCATGAAATCAATAAATTTACATGAAAATCTATCGTTACTTCATTTTTATCATAAGTCAAAGGTTACGTGTCGCATATATTGGTACTCTGTAGTGTGTTTCACATATAAGGGCTGCCAATTGTAAAGAGAGAATGAGGACAAAAGAGGGGGTAAGAAAGAAGCAACAATGAAGGAGAATAGGGTAATTTATTGAACACAAACTGTTATAACGTATGTAAGATTTGAGGTTTTCACTATGAAGAAAGCAGTGTTCTTGGATGTTGCGCCGTGTAGATATTATGTTAACCGATGTTTCGGAGGAACGTATCGTCTCCATCTTCAGGGTAGAAGAAAAAAAGAAGAAAATCCGCGAACGAGGAAGCAGCACGAGTTGATGCTCACAGACTAATGTCGAGTCGAACTGTATAAGAGCAGCCAGCTTAGTCTCAACACGGGCACCACTTGATATATGGCCGCTGCGGTCCCATTTCCCAATCTGCCGCTACTATCCTAGCACGGCTATTCCTCGGTAGGCCGCCACCAAGTCAGGTGATCCCTTCGGAATGCCTGGAACATGGGAATAAGGTTCTGGAGTGACTACGCTCCACGTTAGTGTTGAAGTTCCACATTCTGAACCGGCTTGTCGGCTTCTACGCCACTGCTGTCTGATATTGTCTTCAATTCCACTTCTCCCAACCAATATTCAGCTTATGTCACAAGCAGCCCTTAATCAGTTCACAACTAGCAACACTGGACACCGTTAGTTTCCACCTCACTCACTTGTCAAAGCATAAGTTATGAACATGAATCCCTTGGCTAAAGCGTAGAGTGCTGAAGCTATATTCTGTAATGGCTGCGGCCGTGCTTACCCCTCGATAGACGCTGGCCACCGCTCCCTTGCCGTGTTCTGAACGAACTGCCAGTTCGACCTCCTCCGGGCTTCGATCGCGGGTCGCTCTCCCTCCAGCTGTTCAGCGGTTCCTTGTCCGCGTCGCGAGTCAGCACGGTCAGTGTTCCCTTCTGGAATGCGCTAGCTAAGGTCTGAGGTTCATGCGTAAGAGAATTCAGAAGGGAGTTCAGTAGTTGAGTGTTCAGCTGTGGAGTGTTAGCTAGCGGAAGAAGCAACCGACTCCTAATGAGAACGAAGTCAGTACCGCGAAAGAGAAGACACTCCTAGTCCAGAAAGGAATGGAGCGAGCCTTAGGCAGTCATTTATTGTGATCGTAATTGTAAAGAAGTGCCAATAAATCCAATCATCCAATGCAGACCCCATTATTATTAGTCACGTTAACCCCGGACATGTGACAGTACAGTTAAAGTCACATTGCGACTGACGATCAGTCAGGCAGTAAGTCTTAGTGCCGAGCACCATGATGGGCTCATGACCGGATATTTATTACCGTTTGACAATTACTGTCTTGTTTTTTGTGGGGCGCCCTCTCTGACGAGAGGACGGGTCTGTCTTTTGTATATGCTGCTGGCTCTTGCAACTCAATCTTTCTCGGGTCCGAGTCCCTTGGGACTCGCGACCATATATTACTGCCTCAGATTTGAGACTTCCCTTTTCGTCGCCTCCTACGACTCGCAGGGTCACGGTGGAGGTATTCGAACCCGCCTCCACACGGGACGAAGGAACTCCCTTTTATAACTTCAGGAGACCAGAATAGAGATCACCGCCTCCAAGGGTACCACTACTGCTCTTCATGAATGTATTGTCTCGGAAACGTGGATAAACCGTTGCCTAGCAAAATGGGTAATTCCGTACCTGACTCCACTATTTCGGCTTCTAGGCGGTGTTTTCTGAACCGTTACCTTGCAAATGATTTTTCCTGCTAGTTTTCACGGAAACATGTGTTACCATGCCGTTGTCTGACAATGGATTATTCCGGCTTTCAGGTCTCATATCGTAATATATATGTGTGTACCTGCACTTAATTAAGCACCGCACACTCGGGCGAGTGGGGGAATGGAGATGACGTTCCATGCATTCCAAACTCCGGCTCTAAACGGGAGTGAGTAATTACTTTCATTCCATTGTCGCTTTACCCTCAAGGGAATCTGCGTAGTTCAGTCAGCACAGTGGCTGGGTAAAGGAGTGATTACCGGTGTTCAGTTCCCGGCTGGAGTACGGGTTGTTTTCTTCGTCACCACGTCCAAACAGGCCCCGAGGCATACTTAGTCTCCCATCCAATTGGTACAGGGAGTAAAACGACTCGACCATATACGAGCAACTGATTCCTGAACTCCATCAAGTTCTGTGGCGCAGAATGCAAGGAGCTTTCCTATCCTTTCCTCCATATATCTTCATGGCTTGGCTATTGCTAGTGGGGTGGGACTAAGTCCCTTGTACTGTGGCCACTTCTGGCCTATTGTACCAGCCCCAGATGATAGGTGAGGGTGATTGTGGAGCAATTGGTGGAATGAAGATTGGCAGGAGAAACCGAAGTACTCGGAGAAAACCTGCCCCAGCGCCACTTTGTCCACCACAAATCCCACTTGTCCAGACCCGCGATCGAACCCGGGCCTCCGCCGTGGGAAGCCAGCGACTAACCGCTTGAGCTATGGCGCGGCCCTTTTATTGCAACTTAGTATTTTTATTACTATGATTCAAGCGTGGTTAATTTTTAGCTTCTGTGACGTGGATAATCTAGAATTAAGTTTTCCTTGGATTTGCTTTAGCATTGCTTGCTACATGTATCTTCTTTTTTGACAGTCTGTGAGTATTTGAAATACATCTTCCCCCATTATATACACATTAATGTAACAGTCCTTAAATCGTTTGTTATATAAGCTTCTGTACTATTAACTCAAACCTGCCTTCTCCTGTTTTCCAATTTCGACTTACCTGATACCGAATGATACATCGAGGCCGATATTTAACCTCATCTCATAAGCGCAAGTAGTCATTCATAAACCGCTACCTTACACCGCGCGCGCGGTCACTGTGAGCGGCTTCCGAATACTGCGAAGGCACAAAACGTCAAAATGCTTGTGAGGGATAGAGTTGATGTGCACCCCTAGTACAGCATTAGGACGTACTTTACTTGCAAGTTCCTCTCTCTTTGTTTCAGGCCACTATTCTTCACTGGAGTCTGAGGAGCCTGATGCTCACCGACAGAGCCATACACACGACTACGAAACGCCATTGCAAGAGGTTACTGGCGACCGGACTCTGCCTAGAGATTCAACTGAAACTCCTGCTGAGGGATCAAGGAAACTCACAGTAAATCCAAGCGACATTCCAAGCGTGCACAAAGATTTGAATGGAACAGAAGGCACGAAGTCAGAGAGTATCTTTAATGAGGATACTAGCAGTAGTACAGCCGTAAAGTCTTACAGCCGTTTAACTCTACCCCATGAGAATGGGTCCAAAATACCTAGCGATCAAATGGTTGACACTTTCTCAGAAAGGCGTTCGAAAATGTTGACAAACATTTATCGTAACTTACCGACAAGGTTGGAGAAACGAACAGTAAACGTCACAACTGAGAATTTCTCTAATCGTTCAGAGGTATCGGCGAAAGGCGTGTTTGGAATGGTTGGTGACCAGCCAAAGTATCTTTCAGCTGAAATTTATAACCCATATCCCCGTGTAGCAACAGAAAATGCGTATATTATATTACGTGACATTGTCAGTAATCCTACAGAAGCAACCACTACGCAGTCACATTCGTCATCCGGAAATTCTACCGAAATATCAAGTGTTCAGAATGCCAGAGACATAAGCGAAGATTATTCCTCAAGCTCGTGTGAACATTCAAGTGAAGAAGGGAATGGACATTCGGAGACATCAACAACAAAGGCATTTAGCTCATCAACTGGAAAAGGCCCCACACGTACAACGGAACAGCTGTTTACTAACAGGACTGGAAAGTGGAATGACACGACTAGAATTCCATCTAGGCCCACAAGGGATCATTCAGGTAGTAAAGGCCGCCCAATGGAAACCTCAAAGCTAAACTCGTCCAGAAAAGCGGGTGACACTGCCCAGTTTAGTTCTGTAACAACTGAGACCGTATCAATTAGACAGGCGAACAAGAGGTCATCGCAGCGGAACACCAAATTTCCAAGTGTTCGTGCAATCAGTAGTTCGACCGAAAATGTGTCGAGAAATCCAGGTGGACAGTTGATAAGCATTACAGTTCAAAACTCAGCGCAGTCTTCAAGCATTTCAACTGAAAGTGCATCTAAAACTTCATCGGATTCAACCAGAAATAACTTTAACACATTATTCGAAGGGACAACTAGATCTGCAGGCGGCGATGGGTTGAAGAAGAATTTTCCAGTAGGTGAGTGAAAGTTTCTGTGTTTTGGATATCTGTTTCTGAGGTTAATGTGATTCCCCAGGGAGGTGTTTGGGACACTACACCTTTCAAGAACAAATGGGTAACGAGAAAATTTTAAAACCAATTTATTGGCTGTAATCTGGTACACATTTTGCCATAAAATCATTTCTATAATGTCGGTATGTCATTTGTTTCATGCCATGTAAATTTAAGACGTTGTGACAAAATATGTTTTATAAAATAATTTATTATGGTATGTTTAGCGAATGGTGTGATGTAACTGAACAGATATCAGAATATGGGCGTGTAGCAACATGTCTTGATTTTAAACTTGTCATGTATCCGGACGCTTTCACCGTAAAGCCATAACAATGTTAACGAAATATGAACACACCCGACTCCCGATCACGTGGGCGTATGCTCAGTTGAAGTAACATGACGTCATGCCACACGCAATCGCAGCAAATTCCTGTTGGTGAAGTGGCCAACAATTCACAGGCATCAGAAAGTTGTGTCAGCCTACTGACAGTAATAGAGTGGTAGTTTGATGTGAGAGGGTCGCTAAGTTATGGGAAATGAAATTGCACAATGCCTCGCTCGTTCGCAGTTTCATGTACATGTAGCTATATTTGTTACTTTTAGATCTCACTAAAGGGTTAGTTACATCAATCAGCCGGATGTGCAATCATTGCGAGTTCTGATTGATTCACAGCACACAAAGACAAAAATGTACACATATACTCGTATATAATTAGAGCTTATTCAGGAAAATGCGGATTTCAACAGCCTGAAATGTTTTCTATGATGTTATCTCGTTTTCATTACTACCTTCATGTGAAAATTAATGGATTATAGCGATGAAAATTTAAAAACAATCATGCCGAGTGTTTTAATAATAACCATGGACCAGCTCTGAGCAATGATTTATAAGCCCCATAGATAGGAACGGCGCAAATGCGTTCGTAACTGCAGATGCTTTCTGTAAAATGAACTGCAATGTGCTTGAAGCAATGAAGGGGGTCCCGTAGTCTGCTACTTGTCGCAAAGGTTTCGTAGGAATATGCAGCTTCCATCTGTATATGTGTTAAATATTTTGTTCTCGCTATCCCAGCTCAGCAGGAGTGGAGAAGGTGAAAAATAAATACACAACCGTAGGCTTAAATCCTGTAAAGGAAACCGCTTAAGGGACCTTACCCTTGACGAGAGAAATATATTAAATTGGGTCTTAAATAATAGACTGTTACGATGTGGATTGGATTACTCTGGCTAAAAATAGCGGCTAGCGAAGAGCTCATACATGCACATTAATCAACATTCGGGTTCTATAAAAGGCGGGGAAGTTCTTTACTATCTGAGTGATTATTTTTAATTTGATTATTTAACTGGTCTGTGAATATGGAGAATATGCAGCGTCAGTGAGTGGAGCAGCTGGTGGAATGAAAATTGGTGGGGGGGGGAGGGACCGAAGTACTCATAGAAAATTTGCCACTTTGTTTTCCACAAATCCCACATGAATTGACCTACGATCGATACGGGACCGCAGCAGTAGGAAGCCGGCTGCTAACTGCCTGCTGATTATTATATGTTCCTTGCTACTGACGTAAGTGGAAAATTGTTCTGACCCCTGAGGAAGGTTGTCTTGAATATATTGTAACTTGTAGAAGGTTATTCGTGACGAAAATAACGGGTTCTACTTCGGATGAATGGATACTGGCACTTGGGTTACACTCTCTCTCTTAATTGTAATTATTGCCGGGCTATTGCTGTTTCTGCACTTTATAATTCACTGTTACACACACACACACACACACACACACACACACACACACACACTAGTCCTCTCCTGGTAACACAATTAAAACACAGGAACTAGCGCTTCAAATCACTCCAGATACCTCTGCACTACAGCACACGTAAAGTCTTCAACGTCCATTAACACTTCACAACTGAATCCTCAGAACTCCTTTCCATGACGGCTTCATGTCCTTGACTCACGGCTTCTCAGCTATGACTAGCTACGGCTCTTAACTGTACTGAACTGAACTTTCATCTATCACTCCCTTCTCTCATAAGCACTCTGCACAGACCCCACGGAAAACACCTATTGTAGACATGTTTACAGTTCCGTTGCTTAGAAGCGGATTGCCTAACACCGTTGTCCTACTGCTGCTCGGCGCGGATACAGTCTTCTCTATTGTTCCGTAACCTAGCAACGGACTGTTTACCAAGAATTCGTCTTCGCGGGAACTCGTTTACCAATTCGTTGTCTAGCAATGGATGTACATGTAACAATATTTATGCGGTAACAGAACGGATTTAGAAGAAGAACCCGAGTGTCGGGTAGAATGATTGGAAAATCATGAATATAGGAAGAATTTGAAGAGACGTCGTCGTAGCTTAATCAACGTACTCCCCCTGCATTTTCCTAAGGAAGCCGGTGTCCCAGCTGAGATTCGAACTGGGCACTTGTCGAATTTAAATCTAGATAGTTACGGGTACCGCGACGCTAGACAGCTCGGTACAGCCAGACTGGATTTTAAAGTGGAACGTGAAAGTTGAGGAATGTACGTAGACCTGATGGAATCTAATTAAATCAATAGAATACGTGAAACTTCAGATGCGGCAGAGGAACTCCACGCGTCAAGCGGAAATGAGATGTCAGAGGGAACGGGCGTGTCCATGTGCCTCTCTCTGCCATTCTGTGGAGTCACGCCCCAGCTCACGAGCACGTCCTTTACAAAAATATTGACTTCTGAGTCATTTCTTGCCCTGCTCATCACTTGCTGTCCTGACATCGCGTGCGTTGGTCGGTCATTGTTAGGAAACGGCTTGTTAAAATAGGCGTTCCGAGGACAATTTCAGACAGAAAACAGATCTGTAAAATGTTAACATGGAGGTTCGCCAGAAGTAAATGCAGACAAAATTCAGTTCAATAGTGAACCTTCCGGTTCCATAAAATGCTGGGAAATTCTTGAGTAGTTGCAGAACTGGCAGCTCTTCCATAAGGGCTCAGCTCCATGAGTAAGTAAGTAAGTAAGTAAGTAAGTAAGTAGCTTGGCGGAAAGTACACTAGTGCGCAGACGTAGCAATGACGCGGCTCTTCCGGAGGCGTGTTCGAGGAGTAGAATTCTTGTCTGACGGCTGAACTAAGCGAGAATTTGTTGACATCTGCCAGTATCCGACTAAAGAGATAAAGTTGTCATCGTGCTTAATTAATTAAGCAATATGCCATGAAGACGTACGGCGGAGTGGAGGTATCATCACTGTCAAAACAGCTTTTCAGATCCATAGCTTTCCTGATATGATCCTGCCACATCTGTCCGTTCTTGGGAACCGGACCATCCGGTTTCAATTTTTTTTTTTTTTTTGGATTTCGCAAAAATTATTTTTTTATTACAGAGCAGAGTCGTCAGCCATGCATCAAACCCCCAACCTGGTGGCCATGTTCCCATATCTATATCCCCAGGAACAGGGGGGCCCAGTTATACCCCCAGGCACTGGATTCCCTTTTCTTCGTCTCCTGCGGCTAACAGAAGTTTGGGGAAGGTATTATATAGCTCGCCTCCATACAGGGAGGAGTGGAGGTATAGCTCCACCATTCTTGAGACAAACAAGTTGAGTTTTATTAATTCTAGAACTTTTAACGTGAGTTGCACTTGAGACGGAGGCGAATATATGAATAAAGTGTAGACAAAGTGTATTCGCTTAGTGGGGGGCTTAGTGGGGGGTGGAGTCCAACTGGTTCCACTCGGTACGGCGGCCACTGATTGGCCTATTGTAAGACAAAGTGTAACAGGATGCTACAACACAGCATCAAGAAAACGGGCTGTGTTCTCCTGAGGAACGTAAATGGAAGAATCGTGCTGTTGCATGTGTTTGCCTGTTCTGCCGAGCACGAAAGCAGTTGCCCCCCTCACCGGATTATGATATCTGCTGTATATTTCTTTGCCCCCCCCTCTTGCTCCCAATTTGGAGCACAGGGCTGATTTCTCAGTTTCATGATCATTTTACAGACGATAGGACTCCTTGGATGGGTGATCAGCTCGTCACAATGCCTCTACCTAAACACAGGAAAAAGCACACATACCAAATATCCATCCCCTGAGTGGGATTCGAACCCACGATCCTGGCTTCCGAGCGAGAGAAGACAGTTCATGGCTGCCGTGACTCTACTGTATATACCGTGCATTGATTTTCAGGTTTCTACAAAATCTCCCCGACATATTTCATATTTGTGTGTTCTAATCCTTCCACATCGAGAAACCGTAATTATACCGTTCAGGATGTCGTTTCTTGTTACGCCATTTTACGTGGGATTCTGAGTCCCACACGCACGCCCACCCAAATATCTGTCTTTCCTTGTCTGTCACACAGTGAACTGCAAGATGTGTTTTTACGTGTTCGTATTTGTTTTTCTGTGTCGTGAGGCAGGCCGCGCCATAGCTCAGGCGGTTAGTCGCTGGCTTCCCACCGCGGCGGCCCCGGTTCAAACCCGGGTCTGGCCATGTGGGATCTGTGGTGGACAGAGTAGCGCTGGGGCAGGTTTTCTCCGAGTACTTCGTCTTCCCCTGCCAATTCTCATTCCACCAACTGCTCCGCACTCATCATGACCATCTGGGGCTGGTACAGTAGGCCAATATTAGCCGAAGTACCGAGTGGACTGTCTCACCCCACCCCAGTAAACAAAAACAAAAAATACGTTCTCAAAATGAGGAGTGGGGTTAGCGCAGTCGGTATAGCGACGGGCTACGTGCTGGACGACCGAGGGATCGGAGTTTGAGTCTCGGTGGGGTCAAGCATTTTCTCTTCTCCACTTCATCCAGACCGGCTCTGGTATTCACTCAACCTCCTAACCAATGGGTACCGGAGGTTCTTTCCCGGGGGAAAAGCGGCTGGGGCGTGAAGCTGACCACACACCTCCAACTACTGCCGAGGTCAAGAAATGAGACTCTATACATCAGCTCCCCAATTCGCCATCATGTCATAGTGCTTAAGTAGTTAAG